ATACATCGATATGACATGGCCGTATATATGTACCAAAAAATGCATCTACACAAAAAGCTTATAGAAGTGAGCCTGGCATCATGCTCGGTATATGATCATGCCTCCATTGTCTCTACGTTTGGTTGAGAAACACCCATTCAACGGCTGTTTGTATGGATGAGTCCATAACGCTTACGCTTCTATGTTATTTCAGTAAATACTACCCATGGCATCCCATTGTTTCGAGAGTCGAATATTTATGTAAAACAAGCTGTTGTCAAGAGAGTAACATTCTATTACTCGCATAGTTGCAGTATATATTGCATTATCCCGCATCGTATTTCTATACGTCATATTATTTTATCGATTATACATATAGTATAAAATACATAAAATTTTTTCTTTAAAGAACCTACAAATCTGTTTTTTTAAGAAAAAATTTATATCTTTCCTATTTGTATATATATATATATATATAATATTGAAAAAAGTTACAACAATATATATTAAATTATAAAGTTTAACTTCTTAAATTCCATATATTTTCTTAATTTTTTTTTGACAAAATAACATAAAATTTTTTTTAAATTATCAGCTGTGAAACGAAACGTTGATTTGTTCGCTTACTACTACTCGGTAAGACAGTCCCTCAAAAAGATCCACCAGATAAATAGAAACTTAAAGAATTCTCGAGGCTGAAGCCTGAACAAACTGTATATTTGTAAGAATACCCGAAGCGCTTCTAAAGGTATTTATCTTCGCCATTATCTTTAACGATGCATTTTGTGAGACTGTTGTAACTATAGAAAATAAATACGTATATTTCTTTCTCTAAATTTTATGCGCAGAATTTATTTTGTTGCTTCCTTTTGAAAATTACATCTCTTGATCTTTCTAAAGATAACCATCGTAAAAGCATAGTTAATAGTTGTTATATTACTCGTTTTTATGTTACCTTAAAGTTTTCTCAATTGAGTATTAGATAAATTACATAAATTGATAAACAATCATATATTTAATTTAATTTTAGATATTCTTAATATATTTTTATAAATGTTACTTTTTAAGATGATAAACAGACAAATTTTGAATTTTATTTTGAAAAATGCTGTTTACATGCTTATTTAAATCAAATTTAAATATAAATTTAGTTTTACATAAATTTGATTTTATAAAAATTATATTTGATATTTTTTATAAAATATATAAATTTGTTTATGTAATGTCTGAGAGAAAGAAAAAAATTGCAACATTTTGATAAAGTAACCGGTTTTATTCAGAATAAATGAACAAGATGACTAATTTTGATTAAGGAGGTATGTGCCAATGAAACGATTGCTTATCATATTCAATAACGACCTACAAGAAGTTAATATGCTCCTGAAAAGTCTGCTTTAACTGAGCTGAACGTTCTCTACCCTACCTATTGAGTTAGCTCGAGGCTTACGAGAGTGGGTGGGCCTGACACGCGGTCGATTCAAGAATCGAATCGGCCGGCTGGCACCGGTGCGACTGGTAGGGAGAGACGGATGCCGTGTAACAGTCGGGACCCTTGGGGCCCCTCTAGCGACTCAAGAGGGGAGAACAGGGGGCAAAGGCACATTCCAAGGCAGAACGGCTGCTAGTGAAGGTGGAAGGCCCCAACACTCTCTCACGATATCCTGCTCCGCGTCTTCTCTCCAGTTTGCTCGTCGTGGGCCTTACGCTATCGCGAATAACGAACGTGCAAGTTTCGAGAAATGTTGAGAAGTCTTATTAGGGATACGAAAGAAATTCGTATTTTTGTTTTTCCCTACTGTGCAGCTAACATTTCTTGTGGAATTCTTTGACGATTGTGTGGAACCTGACTGTGTGTGGCGTTAATCGTGATTCATTTTCATCGGATAGTTACAAGAAAATTGTGTATATTTATCGCTGTTTGTGCTTTCAGCATATTGTGATTCAGTGTTATATTATGAATTACAAATATACGTGCTAATTTGTTGTTTTAGTAATTAACTATTCAAGAATTGATTTCTTTTTATTATGAAACAGATTGCAGACTGTTAATTCGGTGAATTTCTAATTTTATGCAAAATTATTAAATCATCATTATTAAAAGACTAATTTGGAATATCTAATGGTTTCTATCTTTAAACTTTTTTGTGAATATACCAGTGATTCGTAATAATAATATATGAAATTAATAAGTGAACTTTATTGATATTGTTTTATCAAGAGAATCTGTCTAATCGATTATTCAATGAAATTCAAATTTCATGAAATTTTATTATCATTAACAAAGGAATTTTCGAGACTCTCACATCTGTTCTATCGACTTGTACTCCATTTACTCTTTGTGGGATTCTCGTGATCGCTTACGCTATATAACGCTTCAGAAATCATCCCAGCTTCGTTAAGCGTCGCGTCGATTAATAATTGGGAAAGTGACTTTTGTGGCATATATTTTTCGAAAATGCGCCATCTTCGAGTTGTAAAAAGCTATTCTCGAGGTATAACGAGAACCGAGGATTGTTCTGTTGCACAACGGGGCCTTACAGATCTCCGGGCATGCGGAAGACAGAGCGCAGCCGTCGGGCAACAGTGATTGAGAGGATCCGGCCGACTCGGAGAAAAATCAACTTGCAGGTGAGTGCAAACGACAACGTTATATTTCGATCGCGCTACAGATTACGGCAGACCAAATGCAGCCACGCGATTTCGTAACGCGCGTGCGAAACGCGGAGTCTGTACCGCCAACGGAAAGGTCGTCACTTCTTCTCACGGTCTTGCGACCGCACGAGTCGTATCGCGAAGAGCGGCTTGGCAAATCTCTCGAACATGATTGGCATAATCGATTATCACTTGCAGAGAGCAGAGAAGTAAAAAGAGCTCAAATCCTTTATTTAAAATTTATTTAAAAGATACGTATGCATATATTACGTATACAATTTATGTTTCGCTTTCATTGAAACACCCATCGCAAATGTTGGTTAATTATTTTTACAGACGTTTTTTGCTGAGTAGATCAGTCTTGATGTAATTTATAGATTTCATAATGTCGCGCAATTACGAGATCGTTTTCTGATTGATTATGAAATTCGATGAATTTCGATCGAGTTATATTTATTCGATAAAATTGAATCAACTTTGTAATTGTGGGAATCACAACGTAATGTTCTTTCTCAAAATGTGTTCACAAGTTCGTCGATAAACGAGCACGACAAACATTCGATCGTATTTTGGATAAACGAAATTAAATCCACGTGCCGCGGAAATATTCCCATTTTTGTCGACTATCGCGAGATCATCGAACAACAGAAAAAACTTGCGGCATCCGAGCACAAGCCATCGGCATCGAACTTGACCGTGGCCTTCGAAGTCTTTGCGCTCGTATAACGAGATACGAGGAATGTGAGTGGCCGGGAGTCACTGGTTGTACTTACGAAGACCACTTCGGACTGGTTGTAGCTGCTAGATGTCCGATATCGAATGAGCTCGACATGGTATTGAAACGTAATCAATTTCACATGACGAAATTTTTCACGTGTTCCTTCATTTTTAGAACTTTTCGAATAAACAAAGTAATTCGCAAATTTGAATTAAGTTAATGAATCTTGATATCTATTGCACTTTTATCATTTTTAAAAAATATAATTATTTAAAGAATATAAAGAGATAAAACACAGATCTTAAAAAATGAAAATTTAATTTATAATTTTAATGATAGCTTTAATGATATTTCTTGAATGAAAAGTTTTAATACCTTTTTTAATATACATAATATTATGCTTATAAATATTTAATTAAATTAAATTTATTATAGGGAACAATTAGTTTTAACAGTTGTTACATTTTATTTAAATTACACTTTGAATTTTCTTATTCAGTTTGGTAAACTTATCTTTATCATTGAAATCCGTAACAATTCTTAACGACATAAACGCGTAATAAACCGTTTCAATACCTTCTTGAAATCTCTATATAATATTCAATCGTAAAAGACCGTCCATCTTTTGAAAGGTCATAAAGAATCACCAAAGTCTTTTCAAAGATATTTATTCAAGTTCGGAAAGTTTTAATGAGTGATGGTAAAGTTTTGCCTGTTTCCGCATTCGACATGACGCTATCATGGCTTGTCATTATTAGAGATTCATCAATTTTATAAATTGATTTTTTTGTTAATAAAAAATTAATTTTCTCTCTTATTTTAAATTAGGAGACCAACCTCTATATCAGAATTAAGAATATTTAATGTTTTATTATTTTATCCAACAATAAATTAATTACTAAATATTTAATATAAAATTATGACAATTTATTTAACATTTTCGCAGCTTATTTAAAATTCGAACATTACATTTTTTTTAGAAAATTTATAAAAAAGTTTCTCTTGATCTTTTCTTATGTCACAATGGAAGCATGTCGAATAAGGAAACTAGATTACTGTTATTCAATGGCTCATGTTTTTCATTCGATTCCAAATGGATGCAACTCATTACTGTCATACGTGCGACAGCTCGAGACAAGGGTTGGCAGCGTTGATACACCAGTCGTCTAGATCAGGATCAATATGTCGAATGATTCACGAATGTCTCGTGACCGGTATTCCACGTATCGCAAGAGATGGTTCGTTTTGATGTCCTGCATCGTTGCACTTGATAAATCGCCCCATATTACGAAACAGCGGGAGCTACCGCGAATAACACATAAAAACTAAGAGCGACCGGGTAGATTTATCTAGCGAGCATTCTATTTTACATCTTTCCTTATATATTATGTAACCGAATAATATTCTTGTTATTATTTCTTTGTAATTTATCAAGTAAAAGTAGAAAACTATATTTTATAAATTTAGAAGTATATTACGATTTGTTTTTAGCTAATAGAACAAGAATATGTATTAATAGAAATGCATAAATAAATAAAATAGTTCTCTTAAAAAAGTTGTATCGTTGAAGAAAAAAATTCATTAAATTGCGAATTTATATCTTACAGATTTAATTTGTATAGTTTTTTGCACGTTATCTCATTTTAGACATTATGTCTCAACCAGAATTAATTAGCGATCTGGACGTACCTGAAAATCCACAGCATCCCTGTCAGTGTTCCGCGATCAACAATATGGACCCTATGAGAACACCGAGAGATAGAATAGAAAGGAATGTGAATAATACCAGAATTTCCAATAATCAAGATCTTTCGCGAAATCTAGAGACCTTACAAAGCGTTTTCGAGCCGGTACGAAGGTTGGAAAGTCCCCCCCAAGATAAATCGCAGATCAATTTGGATAATACCAGAAATGCTGATCTTTTGGAACATCAAGCAAATATATCATCTAATTCAAGATCGATGAACAATCAGAATTCGATGTTATCTCTTCATGGACATAATCTTTCGTGCAGTCCTCGTAACTTGGATTTGTCACGAAATCTGGCTTTTGAGGCGGCTCGAAGAGTTCAAGAAACTTCGAATCTGCAAGACAACCAACACAGTTTAACTTCGAGTCCCAGTCCCTTGCTCGAAACAGGGCCGAACTTGTTGGAAACACCTAACAAAGAATTGGACAAGCAGCTGGAAGATCATACCAGCTTGTCATTGCAGAAGCAAAGTTCCAGCAAAGAGAAGCTAAAAAACGTGCAGCAGGTGTTGAATCCTTATCAGCATCATCACGAATCCACGGCGGTAGAGCGTAGTGTTCATGGACATTTTCACGGCGATATACACAATCACATTCACAAGCATGCTGACAATTTTAGAAACAACACAAATTTAGATGGCGAAAGCTTGATGGGCTTTCAGCAACATCAGCGGCAGCATACGCATCATCATCACAACAACGCAAAAACAAATGTTTCGCACCATCATGGATCTGGCACACATCACACGCACACGCAAGGGATGACCGGACATCATCACGGAAGTCTAGCAACTAGTCTTACTAGCCATGTTCATGGAAATTCTGCTCCCTTGAGCGGATCAAGCGGTTTGTATTCTCTATTTTTATAATTCTTATATTAATTATTATATTCCGTTATAAGTTGAATGTTATTGTTTTAGGCTCTAGTTCCATGAATCAAACTAACTCTGCAGCTTCTATTGGACACCATCATCCAACTGCGATGCCTATCGCGACCACAATAAATCATTTGAACTCTCCTCACAGTCATCATCGATTGAATGCCGGCTCTAGCTTGGCTCATCATTCGAATCCTGTTTTTCCCAGTGATCATCATAGTACTTCGGGTGCTCTGAGCGGCGCGTCGTCGAATTCGAGCATGATGAACCACGGCGGATCACCCACAGTGCATCGGCACGTGGTGAATGTTAACAGTAGTTTATCGACGACACCATTGGGTGGTCATCATCATGGCAGCTCGTCAGGTAGTCTAACCGGTCATTCCAGCGTGAACCATCATCACGTCAGCTCCGGTATATCGTGCGAGTCCTCATCGTCGAACGCAAATACTAGGACGCACAGCAGATTGGATCACGTTCATGATCATCATCATCACTTACAAACGGTGCATCCGTTGCACGCGAGTCATCCCGATACCAGACCGAGAGATCGGGCGCCCTCGAGCCTGGATCATCACGGACACCTTCACGGTCACGTGCATAATCACTTGCAGAATGACACTAAAAACGTGTCTCTCATGGGCGTCGATGCCATTCAGGTATGTTAATCTGGATTATTACAATTTATACAAAATGGTTTTTGTACATAATTGTTTTAAAGAAAAATGATAAATCTTCCTCTCTTCTTCTATCTTTTATAATCATAAAAGGATCATTTTAAGAAATTAATTAGATCTTGTACGATTGCACTTTCATAAATTTTCCTCGTACTTCGCCAAATGAGGAGAATGACTTATGCCACCGTTCTACCTAGCGGCTCGTATATTCCTAGCCGTTTTTGCCGCCACATCTGAGAAAATACATGTTCGTGAATCGCCATATCTCTATCCGCGCACGCTTGAGTTACGTTCGCCGTGTCCTGACCACGCGAGAAGCTATAAATCGTGTACTAAGCAACGGTTCTGCCCTTAGAGCTTATATCAGGAAATATTTTCAGCTGAGGGCCAAATGTGCAGCGCGCGTACGAATGATTAATGATCGGTGCCCGTTGCAGAAATGTTCAAATTTTGCTGCGAGTGTGACAAAAATATATTTTATCGAGTATTCTTTGCCCATAAGTATTGATGTAACCAAGCTTCATCGCAACACTGACATTAAAAATTATATGATCCATAGTTCATTCAAATTTAACGATCGTGTTCTTAAGAATTAATGATAGAGAAAGAAAGACATATGAATTGAAAAGACATTTGAATCATATAATATCATTAGTAACAGCAGAAATATGAATATTTATTGCCCGTAAAAGTTAATCATTTTGTTTTTATTATTTTGACAATGCTTTTAATAACGATTTATTAACGATTCATACTTTAACGATCCGATAACGATATCGATTTCGTGATAAATCGATTTGCATAAATATTTATTAGTCGTGGAATTATTAAGAGACTATCTTTGCAATCCATTATTACTATTATATTATTCTCACACAAGAAAAGAAGAAAAAATGTAAGAAGAAATTTTTTAATAAATGTTCCCTTTTATTCAACTTTATTCGGTACATGATCATCACCCTGACGCAAGTTCACATATTTTTCAATATTTTAGGTTTCGGCCCCAACAAAGAATAAATGTCAATGTCACGTAATGCAACAATCCGGAGGAAACAACGGAGGAACCGAAGGCGAAAGTGATGGAGGCGCCGAAGTGGCATCAAGAACACATCAACCCCCTGCTCTCCCGCCACGTCCACCACCGAGACCAACAAGACGTTACGAGACGACTACTTCTAATCAATGTAAGTAATTTTATTTCTATGCTACATTTATATAATTTTTACATAAGGTAATTACATTTGGATAAGTAGCTGCTAGCAAATACTTATTAAATTTAATTATATACTAAACATATTTTATTATTAAATTTTATTATAAAGATCTTTGATAAAATCCTAAAATATAACGATAAAATTTATCGTCTTATTTATATAACAATTAATAATATTAAACAGAATTTTTTCTATGAGTTTAATATTACCCTGTACGATATTCCTCGTGCTTGCGCGTCAATATGAATAATCGATGTACTATATGAATGACACCCACTCCATATCGTAACTTAATTTCCATTCGAGATTGAAATGTCAGGCAGTCGTTGAAATGTTGGACGATGGCATTTTCTGAAAATTCATCGGGGTGATCTCGAAATGTTACCGGGTGGCAGCTCCATCCCATGTCGAATTGTTTCATGATAATCCCGACAATTGCACTATCAGCCGGACGAGGAGGAGGTGACGTTGGCGTGCATGTCTTATCAGGCGCGGACACGCGTTATCGACAACCACCCGCTAGATTTCTACTCCATTCGTTAGAAGAATTGCATCCCTGCATTCCTGCAGAATTTCAACCCTCGACCGCGTCGGGTCGCTCGAATCATCCGGGGGTATATCGACCAGTTCATGCTTGCACCAACCGAGAGTAGGACGATCCTCCCTCCGTTGAGGGTTGCGAGCGACTTGAAGGCGGGCCGACGATACGATAATTATCGCGCTAATAATGTGGGGTTGATGTACTAAGCGTGCTTGGTATCGCTTTTTTGCCGATGTGAAAAAAAAAGATTTGGATTATTTGAATTTTGGATTTGGCAAACACCACGGTAGTCGCCACCTGTGGGACACATCACAACGTGTCCGCCACCGACAACTGTGAATCTCTTCGAAAGCGCGATTGTCGATACCAAAAAATAAAAAGAACGGACTTTTATGTCTTAAAAAAGAAATCGACGAGATCACAAGTGGATCTTTCTGGCTTATAGAATATTCCTGTGCGAAGCGTAATATTAAATAATGATCAATTAAAAATACAAGAGTTGATGTCAATAATGACCTCCGATGACGATTATTGACGGTGAAAGTGGATTGACCTAGTCGGAAATACATGACAAACAGGTGACCTTGGAAAATGGAGAATTCTCATGGTGACACGTGACCCGTATAGAATATTGCATACGTATGATGATTATAGATTACTCATTAGATCTGTTTCTTTTTTTTTGCTACATTGGCCTATACTATAATGTTTTATTCTTTGTCTTTGTCAAACTTCAAATACATATCTATTACATTCCAAGAGTACAATCAGTACATTAATTCAGCTATTAAAAACAAATCTATTATGAGAGTCTTGAATGATAGTAGAAATATTGAGCATTTATTCGTATTAATTATTTATACTTATGTATTTAATTATTTATACATTTTACTCTTTTTGTAGAATAATAAAAAATATTACTAAAAATATTATAACTTTTCTTTGAAAAAAAAATTTTATTTTGTATAATTTATGCTTTTCTTTTGATATAATAAATAAAATATTTAAATCCGACGATTATTTTTTTTTAATAACTTAATATATTTCATTATTTTTGTGGTTTTTCCTTTTAAATATATATTTAAATTTATATAAAATTAATTTTAAATTTATTTTAATATAAATATCTTGAAATAAAAAAAGAAGAATTGTAGATAATTATAATGCATTTTCATAGTAATATGATAACGATACAATGGAATATTATACTTTATAAAATAATAATATATATATTATTGCAGTATTGATAAAAATTAATATGTATAATATCAATTATTGCACTTTTAAAAATATTGTGTTATATAAAAAGAAGAAATAATTTTAAAGAAATTTTTAACTGCATTGCTATCAAATTTGACTTTTAAATAATAATTTACATCAATACATAATTGATCTTCATTTGTCTTATTCTTATTCTACTGAAGAATCAAATAAATCAAGAATTTTTATGTGATCTAGCCAAAACTATTCGATACACAACGGCAAAGTTAAATTGTCGGCGGCGTCATGTGACAGCAATTGATAAAAAACTCAAAAATGAACCCGCGAAATTGCTGAAGATTGTCGTGAGCTCACGCGAAGTGACGCGAGGAAGATGGATGGCTATCCGGTGCTCGAAATAGTGCGTTGGAACGGTATTCGTCTCGGAACGGAAATGGAGATGGACAACCAGGGCTATCCATGCCCGATGGCGGCACATTCGCATTCGCACTTGCCGCATCCAGTGAATCACGCGCACTTTCCAAGGCCGCATTATCCGCATCCCTGTGGTACGCCGACATACCCCTTTTGCTTATCAGCCATCCCTTTTTGCGCTCGCTTGATGCATTCATGTTCATATTTATTAATAAACACCGCGTGACGCCGTCTCTTGAGGCAAGGTCAAAGGTTGTGGCGCCTTGCTCTTTTAACACGTATATTAACAGGATTTTTACAATGTGATTTAAAATTGATCATCGTTTTAATCAAAATTATTCTTTTTAAATATTTCTTCATTAACAAAATAATAAATCTTATAAATAATTATGAATTTTATTTTATAAATTTTTAAGAATTTATTTATAAATACTTAAATTTATTGGAAATTAATGCGGTAATTTTGAAACAGCCTCTGCTACAATATTGGACTCTATTTCTATTTGCATTTTCTTAGATAAATGTTAGACCATACATTTTTAAACGATAATTATCAAAATTGATTTATATTATCAAATTATCATAATAAAAATATCATGATAAAAATTGTTTTTGAGATATCGACTGTTTGTATATTCTACAAATAAAATATTTTTAGTCTATTTACTTATAGGATCAAAATAGATGATCAATTTTACCATAACTTCTTGAATCAAATTGTTTTGTATTTGTATAATGCAGATCTAAGTTACGAATCTTTTGTTTCGCCTTAACTTTTGTAGCTGTAAAATGTTTCGGATATTCATTATAAAACCATATAAAAAAATTAAATAACTACTGTGTTTCAAATCAATTCGAGCCGATGGTAGTAAACATGCAGGTGATAGTAGGCAGGTGTGTCACGACAAATCAAAGGCGAAACATCGTGTTCGAAGGAAACCGCAGAACTCATCAATTTCCCAACCGTAACATAAAATGGAATGTGCGTATATTTTGATGTTAATGTTATCGATCATTTTAGATCATTGTCCTCGAAAACATGAAAACGGTGGTTTCACCCTCCGGAGGACTGAATCGAAAGAGCAGTTTTCTTAAAAGGATCTATTTGACTTTTCCCTTCTCTAAGAATTTCTACTTCGTAAATTTTATATCGCGCTTTTAAACGGTAGATTAGGATCAGAATGCGTCACAGTCGAAGTATTTCTTGAAGGTATCTGTTGAAATCCGTGCTCGTAGAAACGTCTCTCCCTGAAAGCGAATCTCTCCCTGAATCTCAGAGGTCTTTTCATTGAATTTTTACCTCGGTAGATTCTTTCAAATTTTCTCTCTATACAATATTTTTTTCTATTTTATATTTTTATATTTTATATTTTTTTATTTTGTATATTTTACGTTGAAAGCCAATATAATGTTTGACAAATTTGTTTTCTTCTTTTATATAAATATTTTATGTGTATATCTTTAATTTGTGTTCTGTATAATCATTCTTTTCTAGAATCATCCCTTAATCGCTCAATATTTTTCGTGCGTCTACAAACACATGCGCCAAAAAAAAATTAATTTTGAAAGAGCCTTCTGAAAGTGAGAATATTAGCTCATTGTCTTCAAAGCTACGTATATTGATGCTTAAGAATTCATTGAAAGAGAACTTTCAATACGGTCGGCGCACTAAATAGGAAGCTTTGATAATAGAAGTCGAACCCGGATGCCGTCAAACAGAGTAACACAGAGTAACACAGCTGCGTTGAACGTTACAAAAGCAACGTCGTAGGTATTCCGCAACGCGGCCGCGATAGAAACGGAAATACAATCGGTGGTCTCTGAGCTTTTATGGGAATTGCGAAATAGGCAATGAAAGCGATCGAAATCTATTTGTCTAATATTTTAGAACGAATAAATTGAAATTTTCTCTATCAATTTAATTTAAATATCTTTCGTTTCAAGCATAAATTTTCAAAACTTAGCACTTTCGAAATTTCGACGTTTTTTTTTTTAAAGTGTATTATTCTTCATCACGTGCTTGCGAGAGCCATTTGATGGCTTTAAATGTTGTCCTTTGTAAAACTATCGACCCTTTCCGAGAGAGATCTCAGCGGGAGTAAGCCGTGCTGGGTCTTCGGTTAGCGGGATAATGATTGTCCTCGCGTGAGAACCTAACAGCCGTAGTCCTGATCTGGTCACAATGAGAAACGTGCCGTGAGCGAAATTCCTCGAATAGACAGCGATTACTCTCAAACTCGAATTGATATCCATGTTTCGATAATGCATCGACGCCGGGGCTGAAATTAACCGCAACCTTGACATCGTCCGATTTATGATCTGCGTCATTAATAGCGAGATAATCCCATATTATATATTATTTAATTTTTGTATGTAAAATAAAAATAAATAAATAACAATATTTTTAGCGATTCAAATTAAATACACCCGTAGGAATAGTTCAACTTTTTATAACTTTTAAAGGAAATTAGATTATTATCTTCGGAAGAAGAGCTGTAATAAATATCTGCGATTGACTTACATCAAGTCGACGCAGGTCGCGCATTTTCTTGCATTGGTTGTCGGAGTATTGGCATTTCGTGCACGTGCAAGGTTTTTTTAATGGAATGATTAGAATTTCATGGGTCGGTTTTGCAGGTCACACCGGCGAAGGTGGCTGCTGCAAGAAGTACGTTGTCCTCTGCTACCTCTGCGGTGGACTGAGCGCGGCAGTCGGCAGCCTCTTTTTGGCGGTGCACGCGATCCTTTCGGCCCACACGGACAGTCTAGCGCTCTTCGAGACCGTGCCGTCTTACATTCCTGGCGTTATGGTGAGAGACAAAGATCGATCGATCGTATTACCAAATACGTCGTGACGTGTTGATATCCATACTAATGGTTACATGTAAAAGTACGAGTTAACGAGTATTAAGAGCAGTAGTAGCGTCGGGTAATAAATTAACGTTAATAATGGAAATGGCTTTTTATGCTACGCTGGCATAACCATGTACATAATTAATTTCTTTTAAGCTTTTGAGTTTTCGCGCAACGAATTCGTAATGCGTAACGATCATTGCTTCATTTGATCAAATCGCCGAATATAATATTCCAAGATTTGCAGAACAGACACGATTCAATGGCGTATAATTTATTATTTGTCGTTTCAGTTGATCCTGATGGGTTTCTTCACAATGCTGTTAGCTAGACGAAAGCACAGATACGGACTTCTGGTAAGTAAACTTCCCGTCTCCGCGGGAAGGCATCATTGCCGCTGACAGTTCTGCTATTAAACTGGGTTTATAACTTTTGCAGATGAAAGTCTGCGGTTCCGTGGGAGTGGTGTGCGCGCTGGTGTGCGTGCTCGTCACCGTCACGACCACGGTAATTCACATGTCCCGATTGCAGAACCTTCGCGAGTGCGTTTACACTGCGCGCGCGAGGTACGTATATCTTTCTCATTTATATATCCCAGAAGAAATTACGGTCATAAAGTGGCAAAGCACCTCGGCGTTCATTATGGAAACAGCCGGTATGGTTTCTAGTAATAATAATGTTTCGCGTTATCATGGAAATTCAATCGTTCTTGTAATATAGTCAAAATTTCGCTCGTGCAAGTAATAAAATAAGTTGTAGTATATAATAAAATAAATCTTTCTTTTATTTAAATATTTTAAATATATTACCTTGTAAATCACTTATATAAATTGTTATATATATATTACTCTTTAAATATATTACCATATATTAAATATACGATGTAACTTTATTTATCGTTTTTCAAATAGAAACGGGCATCTTGCTTCCAATTAATCTTAAACTTTCATGTAACACTTTGCACAGATCGTGCACGTGTTACGGTGCACCACAATCGAAGGGAGATCCCGGTGTGCTTTTCGAGGGAACACCTCACTGCGAGGCGGTGCACGGTGCATTATCGGACTGCCTGCGGGCTCTTTTCGGCGTCTCGGTGGCCGGTATACTGGCCTGCATATTCTCGTGCATGCTCGTGTATCAATTGTTGAGCCACGAGAAGAAGAAGATGTACTGGGAGCAATTGGAGCTGAGATGCAGATCATTGTACGGTCAAGGCGGTACCGTGGGACCAACGGCTGGATCCTGCGGATGCTGCAACGATTGCGGAAGTACGAATCCGTGGTGGGCCCAAACACCAGGAAATCTGTACACGCCGAATCCTGATATGGCGCCATCCAGGTATGCAACGTTATTGTGTTAAAAAAGTAAATGTTTATAAATAAAAGTTATAGATATTATTTACTTTAAAAATTATAGATATTGTTTACTTTAATCCTTTTGATATCACGAGCGACTATGATTGCTCGCTGATGAAACGATCTTCATATACTATAATAATAATTATGATGCATATTGAATAAAATATTATAAATATTATAAAGAAATGAAGCAAAGTAAACATTTAAATACAAGAAAAGAATAATTTGCATTCTGTATTTCTGTATTAAACATTTTATTTTGATAATTTTTTTAATAAATTATTATTAATTAAAACATTTCCTTTCGTTCGCGATATTTATAGAAAGATTTTCCGAGACTCGAGAATTTATTGTGATGAACGACGTACCCTTTGAAGTTTACTTTTATTCGCCGCGATTCGTAACACGAACTGGCAATAAAACGCGCGGCGGTGCACGTCAATTGGTTTTAAAGTACACCAGTACAAATGCGATTCGGTAAACTTTGTAATATTTCTTTGAACACTGTATTCAACGAGATACCCATCCAGTTTGGAATCAATTCCGAGAATACGCAGAAGAAGCATAAAAAGAAAATTATATTTGCGCGTGATTCCTCAATTTTGCGAATCATCAAAGCCTTTGTTAAAAAATAAATTTGAATAATGTTACAAATATATAAAACAGAATTGAATAATAATAACTGTTTTTTTTATAGATAATTTATTTTTACAATAGAAATATATACAGAAGTTTCTTAGAAAAATCTTAAAACGGACATATATATCTTTTAAATTTTAATTAGACAATTGAATCGATGAGAACAAAGTGTAAAATATTTCATTTTATAAAATACTAATTTACTATTTCAGTTTATTAATAGAAATAAAATCGATAATTTAAATTTTAGATATATTATAAAATAAAATGTGATAAATTATTTTTTTTTAATAAAATTAATTATAAAATGTATGATAATTATATTTAATAAATGTTAAATATTAATATATTAGTGATTGTATTAACATATTTAATTTTCATAGGAGATGGCGATTACCATGGTCCAGATCAAGAGGTCCAGCGCCGAGCCCAGATTCGAATTATGGCTTTCATACGCAAACACGTCCAACGGAGACCAATGCAGAGAGCGGAACTGGCCCTTATAGTGTCTTTAACTCGCAATCGAGTGGTCCTTATTCAGTTTTAAATGCTCCAAATGCCCCATACACTCCCAGCACTGCATCATACAGTGTTTTAGAAACTCCAGTGCCATTGTGGGGACCGCCACCACCATACAGCGATCCTAATAGTCCTGCCAGACGACCACAAATGGCCGAATCGAGAGCCAGAATTGCCAAGAGGATGGACAATTTTGAAAACAACGAAGGTGAAATATTAAGTACGATAAATAAAATAATTTTTTATATGAATAATGAAAGTTATATCAACTAATAAAGTTATAATCAACTAATAAAAATAAAAAGTATATATGAATAATTTACAGTCCATTAACTTCTGGATGATGAACATTAAAAAAACTAAACTCTTACTTTTCTCTGAAATGTTTTCAGATCATAGATCGAGATCTGCAAAGCGTCCTTCCGATAATTATGAGAATGCCGAGGAGATTTCTAATAGCACGGATCCTGAGGGCGGGAACGAAGGAACTATCAAAGGTAGGAGAGCAAGAAAGCCTTTGAAAGGTGTGGAAAATGGGGCATTTCAACAAGAAACGAATCCCGGGCCAAAACAATCCGAGAGTGAATTATATTTCGGTGACGTGTCTTCGTGTTGCGGACCCGAGAGTAGTTTTTACGATCTGGCTGTGGAAAAAGAAGGTACATTATTAAAATTTTAATTGCAACCGCATAGTTCTTTTTGAACATACATATACATGCGTACGTACGTAGAGGAAAATAATACTGCGTGAAAAATCGCGATATAATTAATAAAAATAAGTAAGTCATCTACAAATATATAATATTCTATAAAAGATTATTCTAATCTCGATATATGTTTAAATTAAAAGCTAAGATATTTTATATTGAGAAATATTTTTTGATAAATCTTATGTGAAGTTTTTATGACAAAAATAAATATTTTTTATAACAAGAAATGAATATTTAAATACTACGAAATAAGCAAAACAAGAGATCAATATTTTACGAGAAGCAATATAATTTCTTATATTGTTTCTTTAAGAGAAGATTATATTTAAGAAAATTATAAGATATTAAGTGTATTTAGAAGTTTTTTTTAATTATAAATTTTGTAGAAATATGTCTTATTTACAGAAGTTGTTGATATTATATACATATTTCTAAATCACTTATTTTGAAAAATGAAATATTTTCTATAACATTTTTTGCACATTTTATATCTTGTGCAGGTGCAGAACATCCGGAAGGTGTAGATTATCTGGCAACTAGACTAGGCAAGCGTCAACTATCGAAGAGGTCCCGATTACCTCTTCCCTTGCCTTCGGATAACAGCGACATTCCCTGTGACAATTACGCGAATAGCGATGAACCGAGAAACGCGAGAGGTCCATTCCTTGCTCCCGATGCACAATACGAGGTAATTCAACAAGGTCGTTACTCCTATTACGGATCAAAGGAAGACGAGGAACTGCAAGAAGGTCCAACGAGTTCCAATTATTTTCGAGAAGATGAAAATGAAAGGGGACGTGAGAGGGATTACAGAGATTATAGAAACAGCCAAGAAGAAGAAACGCCGCAGTGTTGTTTGAGCGATTCTACGACTTTGGATTCTGGTTGGCAAAGCGGAGAACAACAGCAATCGGATGATAATGTTCGGCCAGTGAATGTGTGATCTTAGGTCCTTAAAATTCTTAGCGAAAAAGGTGACAAACAATCACCGATTTCTTGTGAATAGGTATTACTAGAAAGCTATTAAGTCGAAATAGCGAAGAAAATGCGACAATAGTTTCTGATCTGTGAATAATTTAGATCACTCGTAGGTTCTTAAGCAAACCTGTTCTTAAGCAAACAAGAGAATAATTTAAATTGCTGCGAATCTAATCGAAATAGAGAGGAGGAATGTGATAATGTGAGGATGTGTATTAATTTGAGCTTGATAAGCTCCTAGTCGTATGATACGTATAATAGAATGTTTACTTTTAAAAAGCGAAGCTAAACTATTGACGTATCAAATTTAAGCAAAGTAAAACATTCTAGAATATTGTACGTATTAGTTTTTTGTGTGTAACAATTCTTCTTTTCTTGAAACAAACAGAATTGCTAAAAGAGATAATTTAAAAACAACATTTCACACGTTTTTAAATAAATTAAGCAATTATCTATGTGATGAACGACATGATTATCTTTTTCATAAATAACAGTTGTACAATAATTATTAATTTCATTTCTGATATATTAAACGGACTTTGTGTATAATTCTACATTTTTAATCGTTCGTACTACTAAACCCCGTATTTCTATTTTAACGTTATTTACGTTCAAAGTCATTGACGACAAATTATTGTTATATCATAGAAAGCATAAATATTAATAAAGCTACAGACAAGTGATAATAATAAAAATTATAATAATATCAAACACAAGTGCTAATCTCGATTTGGATGAGAACAAATCGCCTCTTCTCGTAAGGAGCTTGTCAGTTCATCTATATACGTATAAATTTTCTTTTTTAATTGAAGAATAGACGTAATACAAGTAGAATACAATCAAGTGATAATTTATGCTTATCTTTGATAGAGATAACGATCAAGCGATGTTAACAATTAAGATAAAACATAAAAACTCGTCGTGTTCAGCATCAAATATCAGTATCAGCATCATGCATCAGTGATTAAACGAAATTAAAGTAGCTTGATCATTTCTATTAAAATGTGATCAACTATTGAATATTAATCGCATAGGATAAAGTATTCGCGGCAAATTCTGTGTATTTTTGCTAATTGCAATATCGTTCGTGTTATTCATAGTAATAAATAATAATAATGATTATTAAGTATAACTAAGAAATTGTATGCGATGAGAGATTGAATGAGAATGAATGAGAGAGTACGAATAGGAAAATATTATAATTTTATAATTTGAAACCGTTTGTCAAAAATATATATCCACGAACGTAAATGAATATGATTTAGTAGAGATTTTAGTAGAAAAATGTTTGCTTTATTGGACACTTACTTATTATTTTATATTATTTATTGCATTTGATAGTAATACGTTGTAAATTTTTACGTGGTACTTTATTTGCTAAAATGTTATCAAATTGAAATTATCAATTGATCAATAATTACATTTTATTATTATTATTATTATTATAGATATCATGTACAAAAGTGTGCTTTACTCTTGCCAATTAAATATTAGCTGTAATTCTTAAATGGTCGCTGAATATCTCTGAGATATCAAAGATCAAACGACATGTTCGTAACCATAAGAAATATATTTATAATAAAAATTTAATTTTTTGTGATTAATAAATCGTTCTATTTATTTCATTGCCATTCATAATTCTGATTTATGAAATATTGAAAAAAAGATACAGATACAGATACAATGCAAATAAATATATATATATATATATATATATATATATATATATAAATCTTTTTTTCAATATTTGCATTAGTATCTGTAATTAAAATATTTTATTCCTGATTTTTCCCTCTATTGAATATTTCAAATAAATTTTTTTATTTAATGATTATGCTGTCGATATCAATTTATTGATATAGATTTTTTTTTATTGTATTATTACAAATACAGACACTCGTTTTTGGAATTACAATTCAGATGGACCAAGAACAATATAGAGATCGTATTTATTAACGACTATATGTATAAGATGCTCGTCGATTATCTATTTTCGTTATCAGCCGTTCGAGGAACAAACGTGAATGAAATGTATATTTTATCATTCGAATGCGGCATAGTTAGATTGTAGCGCTAGTTTAATATCATTTAAGTGAATAAAGTGTACCTTAAGGATGAACCGTGAATCGTAGTAAATCCAATGTATTATCGTATAATGTATTTGATAAGGATTAAGATTAAAGGATGATTTTGCGAAGAAGACTGCGCGCAATACGATAGATAGTGGCTCTCCTCTCCTTAAACCATGGCTTGTTCTTCATATTATTACACAAACTGTTACTTCGATATGTGATAATCGTGATAAACCGAAGCGGACATCCATTGCATGCTAAGCGTATATGTAAAACATACGGTAGAAATAATAATATTTATCTCAAATTATATTTCTTCACTGTAAAATATTTATTGCGTATTCTCAATATCTCTTGTATCACCTGTTCAAATTCTGACCTGTTTATCCATTTCAAATTTATGCAGCGCGAAAGTAAGCGAACACGCATAATAAACGCAATCTCATATACGCAGGTAAGAATCCGAAAGGAATGCGGTTTTGATGGTAGTATTGCTATTGTTAACAGTTTCTTTAGCGAATTCTGATAGCTTCGTTGTATCGGATTGTTTGATGTAACAAATCATTAAACATTCACAATGCGTACATGCACTCTGAAAGGTAATACACATAATATTATTGCATAATACATGCATGCACATAATATTATTTTTAATGTAAATTTGAAATTGCGAGAGGCTCAAATTTTACGATTTGAAATTTATATTTATCTTTCTCGACAAGTTACAATTTTAGTAATATATCATATAATTAGTATGCATGTCAGCATATATATGTTAATTCGTATCAGTACTGAAACTATTATTGAATTAAAATTAACTGTTTTTAATGTTAATATTAATAATTTTTCTGTTTTTAAACATGACTGAAGTTTTGTTTACGTGAAAATAAAATATAATATGTATCTCATATAAATTAATAATTTTATATGATGAATTATTTATTTCATAGATTCTATCTCAAAGCATCGAATTTATATCGTATTTTTACAAACATTCTATATGTTTTCAACGTAGTTTTTTTAAATAATAATATATATGAAATTCGTATGTGTATGTGTATATCACAATACACATAACATTTTTACGTACCTACATGACTAATTATTTAATCATTTAATGTTTAATTAATTAAACAGTAAATATATTCATATCAAATTCAATTTTCAAATATACTTATGTTATTTATGCGATTATCGCATAGCAAATATGATAAAGTAGCAATGGCTTTAATAAATAATTAATTAATGTAAATAATTAGCTCTTGTAAATAAATGACATTTAATTATCCTCAAATTGAGGAAATCCAGTTGCAAACTATTTACAGAGTATTTAATTAATTATTCCTGTCCGATTAAAATCTGGTTATGAATTGATATGTTAATTTGCAAAGTAACTTTTGATAACGTCTGACATAATAAGTGATAACAAATATAATTAATATTATTTATTATCGCCGTGACATTTGCGATCAACTTTATGTTTAAATGCAACACGCATTTGTGTTAAATGTCACTACACATTACTATATAAAAAATGCACTAAATATGATATAGAGGGAAAGTATCAGAACTTCTTAATATTTTGGAAAAAAAGCATTTCCGAAAAAATTTTCTATATAAAAGCTGTTTCAAGGAAACCACATGATTATAATATTGAGTCATCGTCGCAGATGAAATCAATGTCAATATTTTTAATGGTTATTATTTCTTTAAATGCAATAATATATTTTTTGTTACACAATATGATTTCTTCAGTCATTCTGGATTAAGACAGGTTTCCGATACTTTTCGTACATTTTGTTATTTATATATTTTATAATTTATTAATTTATTAATTTATTAATATTAATTAGTCTATTTTATTTTTCTACAATTGAAATGTATGTACATCTGCGTTATGAGGAAAATTAATTCTAAATTATGAGGTACACATAGAGCAATATGAGAAATTGAGATCCGCGTGCGTACGTGTGATACAGTATAACTAAATTATCTTATAACATTATTAATATTAAATTAATTAAATAATCTTTAAAATATTACGCACATAAAAATGTTTTTAGATCTTAAAATAATAGAAACTTTAATATTGTAAAGAACAAGATTTCCAAGAAATTTCGTAAATATTTTAAGATTTCTATAAATAATTTATCGAAAAATAATTATATATTTGGGAATTGTTAACTTTAGGCACCTTCAACAACCCTATGCGTTGCCTGATTTGCCAAGAATCTCTCGACTCTTTCTCTAATCTCTCTATTAAATTCCGGTAAGGGTAATCGCGGTCCGATATCAGCGAAACCTGGCAAATTTTGAAGAGTCTCAGATAGCTGACGATCATGGTCTAAGATGTCCGGTTTGGATGCCGGAGGTTTTCTCTTTTGCAGTGGAAATCTCGTCGTTTTCGATTCAGCGACGATGTTACCATTCTCCGGCAATTGATTTGTCATTCCGCAGAAAGCGATTTTCGCACTGAGCAGCGACCAGAAGATCTCTAGGAGAGACGCCACCAGGACGTTTAAAGTCAACAGCATTCTGGCATGCGACGAGTCATCATAATGGTTGCGCCAGAAAGTTTTAGTCTTTTCTTTCGTCAAATCCACAGATCCTTGCGTAATATTCTGGAAAATTTCTCTTGATATCATCAGCTTTTCTTCGAACGTGAACGTCGTTTTTTTTTGAGATCATCGTGATGATCATTTTTAGTATCGACATGAAAATCTGATACGTTGAACTCGGTACTAAGAGATTTTGAAGTAACAGGTAATTTAGATTCATTGATCTTTAAAAAGTCATGATCTGTAGTGACATTGAATAAATTTTCCTCGGTTGATGTAACATTGTTCACGTGAGTATCGTTTATGAACTCCTTGGCGGGATGAAGAGAGTAAGGAGCGTCGAAAATTTTCTTCAACGGCCACAAGGATTCATCAGTGCTGTTGATAGTTGCCGTGATGTCAAAAATCGTGACGACGAAGCAGAGAATCGCAACTACTAAGGAGAAGAGGCAACCGTAAAAGAAAATGGCTATGTTCCGGTCGACGTACCAACGTCGCCAAGCGAGGAGACCAGTCACAAACGGCACCAGACACGCAATAGACAGAATCGGGCCCTGCAGGGACAAGGCGAGGATGCCTAGAAGGAGGGATACCGCTCCGAGACCAAAGTGGACCAAGGATAGCCCGCCGACTGTCGACGCTGAATAACGACGCTCTGATGGATACAAAGACGACAACGGCGGTTTTGTCTTCACTTTGATAACATATACGTGCTCCGTCATTGTCTTTTTAAGTTGCAAAAGCACCCGATTGCATCAACAACTTTTATTTCGAGAGAGAAAATTACGTTAGGTATGCGTTCGATACATTTGTTCAAAATAAATTTAATTCACATAGTTCACATTTCAGTCCACTGTCTCTCTCAGTCACATCTTTAAACAGTTTACACTTCCATAAGTATCCATCGTCACGTTGCTGAGGCATCCAAATTTCTTGCATTTCTCGCTTTGCACTGTTAAATTAAAAAAAGAATTTAATAAATAAAATGAAACGTGATACATTTTATGTTATTAAATGCAATTAAAAGTAAGCCAATTTGTGAACAAATTACATGAAATATATTAATATAAATTAGTGTAGAATTTTAGAAAAGTTTTAACAGCTTTTTGCTTTATATTAAGTTTATTATAATTATTACATTATGTATAATGATTTAATTGCATAAGTATATCTACCAAATGCAAAGAAGAATAATAATTTTATTGATGCAAATTATACAGTTAGAAAAGTGCACAATTATTCGTGGAAAATTAAACAATCACGATGAGCAATGACGTTATAACAACTATTTATACGGTATTCGATTACAGTCATCGGATATGCAATCCATAATCATGTTCAAGGCAGAATTGAGTCGGGAACGTTTAAAAATGTAAATTCGCCGATGTTTGACGGCATAGGAGAAGCCACACTGATTTCCGTGCTGCCAACAAGAACAACCGACTGACCAATTATGTTGTAGCCGTTTCTCGTTCGACTTAATTGAAATCCTCGTCGGTCTCCGCGTCTAGATTTCGCTCCTCGCGGCTTTCTGCGAGATAGACGTCTTACGCAATTCGCGGATAACAATCGCTCACTCGTGACAGAATACAACAAGTCTTGCGCGATACAGAGCAATTCACACGAGCAATATTAAAATTAATCATATCAAGAGATAAAGATAGATTGCATTTAACCTACACAAATCGGATTTACATTATATCGAGGATTATATTTGGCGTATACAAATCGGATTTATATTACGCCGATATTGGAAAATTCTATAGAATGATGTGGAATTAAAAAAATATTATATAGGATAACTGGACTAATATACAAGTGAAGAATTTAGAGTTGTAATTTCAGAGTTGTAATTAAATAAACGTAAAACAGGTTTACTTTGCAATTTGTTTCATGTGAATTGGAATAAAATGTTATTCCTGTGACCGATCTATTTAACGAGCTCTAGGACTAGACACGTCATTGCTGCTCTTCTAGTTTTTTCTCGTGTTAGAATTATGTAACTGATTACGAGACGCCGCGATTATGTTGCGAATGTGCTCTTGTTTCTTCGGGCATTTGTTTTTATGTCAAATTAGCACCTCAAATCGTGTGAATCTTCGGTGAAACTTCTAGCGAATTATAAATTTGCGTATTAAAATTCCTAATAACGCACAGAAGAAAAAATTTGGTGTAAGATGTCTTTCTTATTTTAAATTAAAAATGTGTCATGTGTAAAATTTGAGAAATATTCAAACACTAAAAATTCTTAAAAGTTAAAGTTAGAGTTAAAATTAACTATTAAAACACATACTAAATTAGTTTAAATTAATGTATTAATTAGGTAATATTTGTAAATCTAGAAATAAATATTGTATTCTACAGAAGATGTGTAATTAAATTTTACAAACTTTATCTTAGTGAGTTTGTCCAAGTAATTTGCACCGGTGATATTACAGTGATTGCGTTTAATATTTTTCTTCACGTGAAGAATTACTTTCGATTCAATCAATTTTGGGAGAATATTCTTTCGACGTTTGCATTTCAACAGTACTAAACTCGTGATCCGCGGTTTGATGAACGATCACTCGCGCGCGACACTTGAGTAGCGACTGAACTACGAAGACTAGTCCTCGTTGAAATTACTACAAAATCTTGAACGAGCCTCCCACGCAGTCTCGACTTGCAGTGAAAGGGACAACAAAGAGCAACGCTGCATAAACGTATCTTCGACTTACGTTAAATCCTGTTCACATCATCATCGACAGTTTGTACTCATACGGCAAAATGATCTTGGCAATGAGAGGCAGATATTATCTTGCGTTTTTTTCCCTCATCGTTGATCTCATTCTTAAGTATGTATAAACATTCATGCAACGAGGAATAATGAAATCACGAATAAAAAGAGAAAGAACAGCAGAAACAGAAAAATTTTATTTTTCAAGAGAATATTTTTCTGCATAACTGAATTCTTTTTTATGCAAACGAACATGTTAATACTTCAGACTTCATATCATTTGAAGTCTGAATATTTAAGTTCTTTGACTCGGCGAACTTTTTGGAATGGTAATCAGTTGACCTCACTTGCCTCTCACGAAAACACGAACCTTCCACTCAGTATGAAAGTCCCGTTATAATCGAAGGTAACTCTCTCAGAGAGCAAACGTATCCCAGGATCTTCGCGCATGAGCCAACCTTTATTGTTAACTGCAGAAACACGTGGGTTCGACCTTTTCGTTGGATCATTGGTAAGGAGTCGTTCGCAGATTACGACAGAATCCCCACCAAAGAGAGATATCTAAAACAATGAAGAAGAGATGCTATCTATCAATCGTCATTGCTTTGACTGAATTATAATAAATATAAAAATAATAGTCTCTTGCATCATTATATTTTGTCGTACGAATAAGCTGAGAAGCAAAAGACATTCCTAAAAGTTATTTTAGATATCGAGATCAGTTATTATAAAATATTATAATAAATAATCAACCTGGTGATTCTTGATAATCCTAAGTTTGGAACAATATTTGAGCTAACGTTTGTTTCTTTTAATTATAGAGAAATCTTAATAGTTGTACACAATTTAATTGTTAAAAGTTACTAATTTTCATAATATATTTTATCTAGCTGTCTACATTAAATTATGTAAGCATTAAATTTTTCATCTAATGTCAACTAATCTTAATATTATCAAATGTATATGAAAGCTATGCAATTACTATGTCTCCTTCAAAACTTCTTCACGAATGAAGAAGGATTATGACTGCCTAATGCAATATGCTAACAGGACTGTCGTTATTAGTGCCGTTGTGTAATTAGAAGGACGATCGAGAAAGTGTAACTTCCAATGGCCGCACAAACTGCACATTACACTATAACGGTGTGCATCTCGATGGATCGCAAGAATCCATTGAATTGGACGAAAGAGAGGACTTTCACAATATTAGCAAAATCATTCTGCCGTCGATAAATCGTTCATGCGGAAATTATGAGACGCTTTCGAGAAGATCTAACGTCGCGTTGGCGACATCGATCTTCCCGTAAGATCGATCGAACCGCAAACTCATTCAAGCGGATGATAGTTGCATTTTAGAGCGACATGCAAAAGGAATCAGATCCTGGTGCGTGACTCCGCACTACGCGGAGATAATCGCGATTTGTGCGATTTGTTGTATGTGGAGCAAGAAGAGAAGTGTACGTGGCATCCATCCACGTGGATGATTACTATGCACGAGCTCGATGGTACCAATCGAAATAATCGGTGTAATATCGGGCAACATATTTTGTTCGTCGAAAGCATGACAATCGCAAAATAGATAGAGGAATGATACGTACCTAGAGCTGATCGAAGTTATGAAAAGTAACCACCGTTTCTCACTCATATATTTAAAACGGAACCAATGCAAAAGAAATATTTGCCTTTAAAAATTTTCCAAAAAGGAGGAAACGCTTATTAGAGAAATGTCACCGACTATAGATTATGCGGGTAATGATTCGATTAAGCTTAAATGTAAAAATATATCTATCAAGGGGTCGGTCTAGTTTCTCTCTATCTCGCCACTTTTTCTCTGTATACTTTCACGCGACCGTACACTCGTGAAAAGATCCTAAAAAAAAAAAAACGCACTCTGGCGCTCTCGCCGTATGAGCCGTTTCGAATCCTTTCATTAAAGTGACTTTTCGGCCGTTAATATGCCGGTATGCCTAAGAGCATGAGAGAATATATCCGGTGTACTGCGAGAGCGAGCAAGGCAAACGACATGTTTGCGATCGAAGTGCATTTGTGTTGGAGCAGCTGTTATTCTATCGGGGCACGCGTCTCAACGGTCGTGGCAGCTGCCCAGAAAATCGACTATAGTGTCTTCATTCTGAGTTCTTTTATGTCCATCTAAACTGGATGCAATTTTTATTTTATATAAAATAATACTATTTATACTTTATTATTATTATTTTTAATATAGAAAGTGTATATATTTCTATATTTAAAGACAAGTGTTGAAATAATTTGGAATATATAAACAATAAAGATTATATAAAAATAGGATATAATAAGTTATTAATAAATGCATTGTAAAATATTTATCTTTACATAATAGTTTGTTCGTTTCTCAGAAAACACTTGTCACTCTTATTTTTATACAATTTTTCAAGTATTTATTAAAACAAGAAACAAACAATTATTTAATAAAACATTCAAGAGTGTCACGGATTTGGCATAAATGTAAATCTTTATGTTAAACCGAATAAATTCATAATTTATTTGAATGACAAGCGCACTCTTCGGCGGGTATTTAAAGTTTAAAATGCTCTGTCAGAAAAGTTCGGCGAGCAATAGGTCGAAATGCGAAACAACGGTTGAAATCCTGAGCGAAGTATATTATATTATAGTTGAAAGACCCCCACTCTGCGAAAGGACACCGGGCCCGTATTACGTGAAACCCCATGACAACCCCTCGAGCAACCGCGCATACACGCGCAGATACGAGGGAACGCATGGAGAAACGCCCTTTGCGCATCTGCTTAAGGGAACTCGCGAGGCAGTTTAACGAAGGCAACGGTCGCGAGCACATCGCATAGTTAATGAAGGCGCGCATTCTTGATGGACATTTTTACATGCCGACACATCGCATTTGTATTCTGTTCGGAAATTAATTCTCGACTTTATAATTGATATTAAAATAAAATTTGGATTTTATTATTACAAACTTTAATTCGAAAAAGTTGCAAATGCAATATATATAAGTGAAATTATTAAAAGTGTATTGTTTTAATTTAAATAACTCTTATCATTATTTAATGGTCGTGTTCTTTGAAAAATTGTTGTGTGTGTGTGTGTGTGTGTGTGTGTGTGTGTGTGTGTGTGTGTGTGATTTATTAAAAATTGTTGTGTGAGATAATACCATTGTAGTATTAAGATAAAAGTAAAGAATATTTTCGATATATTGAAACGTTGTCTGAAATTTGTATAAAACAATGTGTAAAAAGCTTTGCAGATTAATACACAAAATTGACTCGCCACCTATGCAAATAGTGAATTTTGCTTTGGAGACTTGGCAATCTCCTATTTATATTAGTAGCATGCTAGTAATCCTCGTCAGTAAATCTTAAATTTTAGTGATTTTGAACATATTTAAAAATTTTATAATATTTGTGTGTTTGTGAATGTAAAAAAGTGAATTATTGTTAATATCCATGCGGTTTATTAGTGTTTTATGATATTTGGTAATTTCTTTTATAATAAAAAACTTGCATGTAACAATTAATACATGGAATGCGATTAATTTTTGAATACGCAGCTGAAGTTATTTTTGCAAAAAGTTTAGATAAATTTTTATTTTCGACAAAGTTATTTGCCAAGAAGATTTATTAATTCTTGTAATATCTGCTATAACATGTAACATGCGATAATTCAGAGTACTTCGTTAAACACATTATTCATTTGGCTAATAACGTCTCTAGACTTAATCATTTAAGTTTCAATTTATGTTTACGAGTCCATAACAGACATTCATTTGGTTAGATCAAACTAATTAACAGAATTAAACTAATTTTTTTTCTTAGTTATTCATTATTCACTTCTCAACGCTCATCATAAAGATTTGCGTAGCGAGCGCGCATATTTTTCTCACCTGTTGAAGGTCTGAAAAAGTACATATCGTTCGATGAGATAGCTACAAAAGACAATTATGGCTCAGCCACCTGAACCGGTTCCGGTACATTGCTACACAAATCCATCGTTTTGCCGTCAATCGGAGTACATCCCGGACGATCATGTTAACGACGATCTGCCGCCGCCGCCGCCGCAGCAGTTTCAAGGAAACGACGATTTACCGCCGCCTCCGCCGCCGTTGCAATTGCAATGTCACGCCGCGGGTCAGAGCAATCCGGCGTTCCAAGCTCCGCCGGAGATGACGTTAGAGATCTGCGAATCGCGGGACCGGTATTGTTATCTGGAGGGTAATAGGGCCCCCACGCACAGGCGATATGCTAGTTTTCCGGCGGAGGAGTCTCGCGTGACTTACAGCCAGTCCTCACGATACGAGTACATAGAGCAAGACGAGGCGGAGAGGAGCCAGTTGCCGCGCAGGAACTCGTCGAGGTACGAGTTCATTCCACACCAGCAGGTGCAACAACGTTCCGCGCCGGCGACCAACCAAGACGATCGAGGAGGGCCGCAGACCCGAGCGTGTCGCGGCAATGCCGGTAGATACGCGCTTATACCGGGTGACCAGGATTACCAAGAAGACGGTCCGCAATGGAGCAATGCGAAGTCGGCGCCTCGGCATATCAACACTCCGCAGGGTAATTATCCAATTCTTATCTTATTCTTATCTTTAGAAATATAAAACATTTTCCTTATGTATGTGTTTATTATCGGCGGTATAACTGTAAAATAAAATTTAATTGATTATTTAATTGATTATTTAATTGATTATTTGAATATAAAGTATAAGGTAGTAAAGACAATGTATAAACAATGGCGTAATTTGCAACAGGTCGTTATACCAGAGTGCCCTTGCAAGAAGAGATTCCGCCGGCGCTTCCCGATAGAAACACGCAAGAGATGTCAGTATCACCGAAGAATAATTTAGCTACGCAGAAATTGCATGAAATATTATCCACGCCTAGAAAACCAAGGTCCAGATCCGAAGAGAGAACACTATCGCCGAAGAGACAACAATCATTCAATCAAACCGGCACACCGCAACGAAGAGCGCTCACTCCTGGTGGATCGCCAAATGGTGCAAGATTTATTATCGCATTGTTTTTTCTAATTTGCATAATATAATAATATCTAAATAAATATTATATAAATTAAACGCTGACAAATTTATTAGAAAGACAGATAAATGCTTGTTTAAAAGTTAATAATATTATCTTCTCTAGATAATTATAATTTTTTTATACTAGACTATTTGTTATACTTAAATTATCTTTTTAATTAACAAATAAATATTCGTTTTCTGTCATTTCTGTGCAGGTCGTACTTTTAGTCCAACGCGCACAACTCCTCAAGGCACACCTCAGAGCCGAGCTTTCTTGCCTACGGGACCTCAAACTTCTACACCTAACAAAGAATCATCAGCTCGTAGATGTCTTCCTTTGCTGGAAAACTCGTCTCGACAGCAGGACCTCTGTCCAGCCAGTAATTGCGGTCGGCTTCGTTATGTCGGTACTGCTCCGGTTGACTTAATGAATATGAATCACAATGAACCACCTCCTCGTTATGCTTACACGGACGGCCTCGAGTCCATGCCGATGATGTCTGGATCGCCCAGATATCAGGTGATGCCTGCTGATCAGAAGAACTATCAAAGCGTAGAAAGCGCATTTATGGCTCGAACTGCGGTTGTAAGTGATATCAAACTAAGTAAAAAAAAAAGAAAAAGAAGAATTATGATTAACAGCAAATAATAAAAATAATTCTTATTAACAAACATTATTAGGTACCACCATTATCTCCGCCGAATAGCGACGCGAACACAACCATGGCGAGTGGCATGGAGAAAGGTGACAGAAAGAGCGCTCCGATTCTTCTAATATTGGTCGGTCTATTGACATGTGGACTTGCATTATATCTATCCTGGTCACAAGGAAGAAAGTAAAATTCTTTATATTTTTTTTATTTTTTAATATGTTAAAGAGACTAAAAATAATAAAAATAAAGAATTATAATATTTAGTATCAATTTAATACAGAGAGTCATTATTTGAACGCTCTAGAAAAATGTGTTTACATAAATGTCAATTTTTTATATAATCAATATCTAATAAAAGATATTTTTTTTTAGATATTATTTTGACAGTGCGGTTGGCTGTGGGGCTTGCTGTGCTTTAGCAGGTGCATGCAGAAGCTTGCGAAGAACTTGGACGGGACTTGGCCTGGCTGGATTGTCGGCATTGAGCTGTGCTGGTCTTTTGCTGCTCGCAGCTAAATCTCCGAAAGATGGTACACCTCTTCACGATATCACAGCCGGCGCTTTGTGTGGTGTATCGGTTTTAGGCGCTGGTCTAGCTCTGTTGGCCCTTCTAAAACCAAGGTGCACTCTCGGACGTCATAGACGAGTTCATTCTTGGATACCACGATTTTCTTAGTTATAATATCACATTTGTCAACAATTAATATTGTAATAATTACATTTACTTCAGCATTGAAAAATTTATGTAAAGATGTTATCATAAGTTAGTAAAAGCATAATCAGAAAATAACTCCTGCCATATATTCAGAAAATCATATATTGATTTATAAATATCTAGATGAAATATAAGTTATGCAAAGAACATCTACTAAGAGTATACTGTGAAAAATTGTATCATGGAAAAGTGCATAATATTTTTAAAAAACAAATATTTTTAAAAAATTTATTCAAACTAATTAATTTTTTTGAAATGCTGAACTCTATCAAATAATAGTTTTTTATTTGAATTTTCGAATAAGATTTTAGTTAATTTGAAATGTAAAAAAAGTGAACTACTATCACTTATGTAAATACATTTATTATTATCTATGTTCATTTCTTAATTATATCTTATTTAAATTGAGATTTTATTCTATTGCAATTCATAAATTTCTTTAATATGTTTTTTATTATTTACATATCTCTCAGATTTATTCTGATAGTATATAATATATGATATCTGATAGTATATATACATATTTTCATATTTTTGTAGATATAAATATTTTAAGAATTATTATATTTAAGAGTAAACATATTCGTCAACGTCATTATATCATAAGGCAGCTCTGAATTGTATAAATGATACTTTTAAAATATACAAATATTTTTTATTAAGAATATATGAACGATTTAGTTTTTATAAATTAAAAATTATTTTGTATGAAACAGTTTGTAGAGAATAAACATTATATAAAAATATATGCGTGATGTATATGTAGAATTATGCATATAATTTATAATTTGTAGTTTTGCTATCAATTTTATTCATTTTATGCATATATTTTGCATATTAAGTTACATGATATTCGCGTAATATGTAGTTAGCTATTCTTAGATTTCTTAAATTTCAGATATGTGAATTTGTCTAAAAAGAATCTAAATTAATTAGGAATTTTGCATAATCAATTTAAAACCTATAGCTTATTATTCGATCGTAAATAATAACAAAAAGCAAAATATTTTCTAGAACCTTTGCAAGAAAAGTAATTATAAATGAATATCTATTTATATACATTATCTTTAATCATATGTATATTATAATATTATTCTATTATCAAAAACAAATTATACTTATATAAATGCATATATGAAATTATTTCATAAATTATTAGATATTAATAACTAGTTTTATTCATTTGTTTTAATTAATTGTTTATTTCTTAATATTAATTGTATAATATAGTATAGTATAAGTGTGTGATATAAAATATATTTATAGTATAATTTGAATCATTATAATCTAATATAAAAATGATATAACCATCCTGTACAATCGTCATTTCCTGATGCGTCAAGCGTTTTAGTAGATACGGAACTTATTATCTCGGATTCACTAGAAGGAAGTCGAGTTCCTTTCCTTTACCAGTTACTATCTGAAATTACTGTTGGCCGGTAGATTGAATAGAGCAAAATGAAAATTAAAGTATTAAACTTTCCAAAAATTTAATTCTATTATTATATTATTAATTAAATTAACATTTCATGATTAAGTGTAGATTATTATTTTCAAAAAATTTATTCATACGTGTTTTAAACGTTCTCGATAAGCGGTCTCAATGAAACGATCTTAGCACAAAGATTTAAAAATAATATGATACGATAAAATAACCTGATTAATTAAATATATATTATTTATTTTACATGTTGTATTATTCATTTTTATTCTGACAAATGTCGATCAAACAGCGTGTGTGATTTGATAAACAATGAAGAAAGTGATAATGCATTGGTTTATGTTATTCATCTTCGCGAATAAGATATTACACATTATCGGAAAAGTAACTCTGTTGCGTGGGTCATCAATATTTTATAAATCACCAAATCAATTGAGATTGATATGTCTCTCAGAAAATGATGATGGCGCTCTCGTGTGGAACTATAATTTAATAGTGCAATATTATGAATTACCTAAAAACGATTTCGGTAAGTTATCAAAATGGAATTAAATATAAAATGAAATTTATTCACAAAGAACGAAAATCAATAAAACCAATTTTTGAGTGAATGTTAAATTCGGCTCAAAATGGGCGATTTTGATTTTTTATGTGTGTCTCATAATTCTCTCAAACGGTTTTGTCACAGAATCATTTGAATCATTTGTTGTAAATAAATTGAGAAAATTTAGACTGCCATTACCACGAATTAAATGGTTCTATGACAAAACCGTTTGAGGGAATTATGAGATATAGAGAATCAAATCAGAGAATCACTCACTTTCAGTCGGATCTGACATTGGGCCCAAAACCGGATCTTATTGGTCCTCTTTCTTTCATAAATAATTTTATTGTTAGGTTTATTTACTGAAGTTGTCATTAATATTTACATTTAGTTTTAAATAAATTTTTTATAAAATATTCGATGCTATTAGTATTAGATTTCTATGAGAAAATACATCACAAACATTATTTTATTAGAATTTCACGATTTCAACAATGAGTTCAATAATAATGAGATAAATTGCAAAATGAATGCAGAGGAAAATTGCTTAGCATTATGGAGGAGAGATGGCTGGAATCTCACAGATTCGATTAAAACACCTATGGGTCCAGTGTTTGATCAACGATGGGAAGGTACAAGTATCGTGTAAGGAAGGAGTAAGAAAGAATTGTGATACGCATAAAATATATTATACAATAATGTTACATATGTAACAATATCAATATTACAAGAAAAATATATCTTTAGAATAGTTTTAAATAATATTTGCTTACAATTTTCAGAATTTAAAGAATATAAAAATTTTGAAGATGCTTATGATTATATAAAACAACTTCCTATTACTTTAACACTCTCTTTTTCGGTTCGTACATCTCGTGACGCACATATATTAATTTGCAATGGTCCAAATTATAATAAGGATTATTGCTATTGGATCATAATAGGCGGTTGGGGAAATACATTGTCTGTTATACGAAAATGTGCGAATGGAGTGCCTGAACCTGGAAAATGGCCGATTTCAGGTTCAGAATGCGACAAAGCAAAAGTTAAATACGAAGTAACTAAGTGCATATTATACTTTTCTTATTTAAAGCCTTATCACTGCTTTTTCACATTACAACAATCAAAACGATTTTTTGAACATATTTTAAATAAACAATTTAGAATTTTTACGTACATTATTATTTATGTCCTTGTTTTAAAAATAAAATTTCAAAAAATTTATCCATAAAAAGTTGATGTAAGAATTTCCATGCTGCATTTAAAATTAATAATCAATACAGCATACACCATTGTCTGAAAATGAATGGCGATCGTTCATTCTCTCATGGGATGCTATATTTCGAAAAATAGAAATCTATGATACTGATAAAATCATTATGTCATATAGCGACATAAAAAGGAACAAACGTTCAAACTATAATTATCATATGTTCATCAGAAGCCCTACAAAGATGTTGTTTCGATTTCATACCTGTAAGTGCAGATTCTAAAAAGAAATTTCTATCAAGCAAAATTATTTCAAATTTATCATCAATTGATTAATAAGAAAATAATTTTATACATACTTCAGACAATTTTCTGCATACAAATGTCGAGACCGCAACTTTATTAAGTCCTGCCTTTCAATTTAATAATGAACCAATATGCATACAATTATTAATTGGTCTATGTAAGGAATGTAATGCACATATATTGTTGCGAGATTCCACGACACATGAAACGTTAGAAATGATTACAGTAAAAGGCTCATCAAAAGCTAAAGATTATAATTTACCTATGTGGCAATCTGTTAAAATTAAAAGCAATTTTTCAGCGAATAATTATAGATCAGTAATAATTCAATTAATTCCAAAACTGATTAGAACTATTTCTAACCCTTTATGGGCGATAGCGAATGTTCGTCAATGTCCTAAAAATGGTGAGAATACCTTACTTTCTTAAATTCATTAATTAAATTATAATATTTCTTAATATCAACTATTGCGTACCATGAAACTTGTCATACACAACAGTTCTATATATTTTCCAATAAATTCATTAATTTATGTATATAATGTACTTCATGTCATGTTTTAGAAGCTTTGAGAAAAGGTATTTTAAATTACAAACAAGATTGGGATAACAACGGTAGATTTTACTTTTGGCCAAAGATAACATGTCAAAAATTATTTTATGATGAACATACCGTCGTGAGTGCTACGTCTCGTTTTGAGCGGAATATAGAACTAGGTAATTAAAAATATCAATGATAAATCAGTGATAAATACAAATATTAAGTAAAAATAATCATATCTTTATCCGTTAATTTTTTAGACTAATAAAATAAAATGTTATTTTATATTAAAAAGATAACGTTTCTTTAGATGACGCAGACTGTCTACAAGATAAAATTGGACCGCAATGTTTGTTATCGTGCGAACGTGATTTGAATAGTAACGTTGACTGTCAAAATATTGCAATTTGTTATGAAAATGGTTGCACATGTGCTCCAGGTTTTTGGGAAGAGCGTTGTTCTAAACGTAAATAATTTTTGACTAATTATTTTTACACTTCTACATGTAATAAATTGTATTTTTAGCTTGTACATCAAATACATATGGTCATGGCTGTAAAAAGATGTGCGGTTTGTGCAATGGATCGTGTAATAAGATAACTGGAGTATGCAGTGAGGGATGCAACAATTATAAAAAAACTTACATACCTCCCATGTGTCAAATAAGTAATACTTTGTTATATGTTGTATACTATGTTATGTTTTATCATACTTAAAGAAATATCAGTTATAAATTAAATGCAACTATATTAATTATTTTACAGGTATAGATAAACCGAGCATACCTGTGATAACCTCTACAAACGAAACAACTATTAGTGTCATTGTTCCTATGATATGGAAAGATGAATACGATAATATATCAATATTTTATGGTTTTGACATTAAAGTACATACGTACATATACATTAATATTATTTGTTCTAATATTCTTTAAAGTTATAAAAATTATTCTTTGAGTTGCGATTAACATAATTTCAAATAGCATTTTTTATCATTTTTTATCATCGAATAAAAAAACAGTAACTTTGTAATAAATTTTTACAGGGACATATGCAATATAATGTTCTGCATTCATGGAATAGAGTATTTCGAAATATGACACAATTAATAGGATTTTTTCAAAATTTAGAACCTGGTGCTATTTATCAAATTAGTTGCAATTTACTCGTTGAAAATGAATTGATATATGGTGACTGGGAAATTGTTGAGACAAAATGCAATCGTAAGTATTTATTTAGCTTGTATGAATCTAACAACAAAATATAAATATAAATCACATTATATCAAAATCTCGTCAGATCTTATATTTTTAATAAACATGTCGTTAACATTACTGTATTGATTTCAAACATTATTATCTAGAAATATTTATCTTTATTTCTAATAGTTCGTTATTTATAATTAAAAATAAATTTCTAATTAATTTCAATTAAATTTGTTTTAATTCATTATTAGTAGCTTATTATTTTTAACACAATGTAAATGTTAAAATAATTATTACTACATATTTTTGTTACACAAAAATAATTGTAAATTTACATAACATAATACAAAATAATTCAGTAATAATAAAATAGTTATATAATTTTTTACTATACTGAAAAGATAGTTGCGTCTTTATTATTATTATATTTGTATAAAAATATTGTTTTAGTTATTTATTTAGTTCTGTAAAATAATATTTCTTATATCAATACTTTGTGTAATGGTTTAGCAGCTAATAATTTTATCGCAACACCTGGAGAAACCGATTTGGTAATTAATTGGGATATCAATTCACACGTGAGTTATTTTATCTTAAATTTGTTTAAAATTTTTTAATTTTGATTTTTAATTACAAGTATTATGGAAACAATAAAATTTATATCTACTTTTCCTATAATAGCAGTTACATCCATGTCCAAAAAGTTGGTATTATCTGATAGTTCGAAATATAAATACGAACGAAGAAGTTTCTGAATTGAATATGTATTTTCCATACAAACTACAACGTTTACCATCATATACTAATTTTAATGTGACTATCTATCATAAAAATTACCAAATATTTACTCAAGAAATTCGTACGCTTGAAGGCGGTGAGTTGATATTAATATATATATATATATATAAAATATGATTATTGATTATATCATAAGAATATAAAAGTGTATGTAGATGCATATGTTATATGTATTGCATATAAATATATTTAATATACTTAATTTATCAATATTTTTAAACAAACATATTATTACATTTAATATACTTAAATTATTAAATATTTTTAAACAAACATATAAATTACATTTAAATTATCAATATTTTTGAACAAACACTTACAGTTCCATCTAAAGTGTTAGATTTTCAAAGGATGCTGACCAATACAGAATTAACGCTGATTTGGAGACCTCCAAGTCAACCAAATGGGAAAATAATACGATATGAAGTGATTTTAAAGGTAAATGCTTTTTTAAAAGAATACAATATGTTTTAAAAGCCATTTTAAAGGTATTTTAAAGATAATCTATGTTTTGATTTTAGATTTTATATTATATTTATAATTTAAAAATAGTTAAAATAACTAAACCATTTTATTTGGTATCTTAAATAAGTTAATCTTATAATTCAAGAGTATTAAATCGCGTAGAGTTATGGCATATATTTATCTTTAATAATATCATTTATAACATTAGGTTTATCGTTTTAATAAGCTTTCAGTATGTTTTTTGGTAATTTTAGATTAGAGAGTTTTATGGTTGTAAGGATTTAAAATTAGCTACTCCGAATAATCATATCATTAATGTATCGACAACAGATACAATGATCACAATTCCAGATTTACGTCCATACACATCTTATTCTGCGCAAGTTGTAGCTCATAATTCACGACATTTCAGCATGAGTGAGGAAAAAATTTTTGACACAGCACAATCTGGTAAATATTTAGATTATATTATTTAGTGAAATTATCATTGATATTACTAATAAAAATAACACAAGTCATTTTATTTAAATGTTTATTAATTTTGAATTAAACTTATTGATTGAATGTTGAAATTGATTGTTTTCTTATACATATGCATACATATACAAATTTATCATAGAAAACATTAAAAACAATTGTTTTACAGAAATACCATCGGAGACATTTAGCCAGTTAAGAGTACAAGATTGGAAATTAATGTGGAATGCGCCTGAAGATTGTTCAACTATTACAGGATCAATGATAGCCAGGATAAAAATACGAGGAATTAGCAATGCTGTTAAAGATTTCGAAGTAATAAAACAAACCACACGTTATTTTCTTGAATTAGATAAACTAAAATTAAACGGTGTTGAACGATATGAGGTAAAAATTTATGTAATAAGAGGGTACTCAAAACCAGAAAATACATCTGCTTATCGAATATACGAGTTTGAAAGTCCGCCGACAGGTAAAATTTAATATTATGATATAATACGATTTAATAATTTTTTTATTACAATTATAATAAAATCAAAATAATAGCTCCACCAAGTGTGTCTAATTTGGAGGTTGTTGAAATTGATACTCGACGTATTTCGACTTCTGAAGATTTATTATATCTGAGATGGCAAAGTCCACTTCCACCTCTCAACGGAAAATTACGTGATTATGGTATCCAGTCATGTTACAATACATATTACAACGAATATTGTAAAATTATTGCAAATCATTTCAATACATCTTGTGACTTATGGGATGGTTATATCTGTAAAAATGTTCCAATAACAACTTCTGCAATAATTCAGGTATAAAAATGTTAAATTCTTTTGATTTTTTAATATTTCTAGATAAATAATATATATGATGTATGACATAATGAATTAAAAAATTGATAAAAAATTTAATGCAAAATACAAAATACATATTTATAGGTTTTTGCGTACAATGTAAATGTTACTGAACCTGGTGCTTTAACTTCCGTGACTGAGGAAATGCTTCGTAATACGAGTAAAATTTTAAAACTAATAATTTTAATAACTTTAAAAATTTAGAATATATAATAAACTTTTTAAAAATTTACAATTAATTGTGACATACAATTTATTATTATTATAAATATTATTATGTTTTTTTGCATCTTTTTGCCCTGACTAACACATTTTAACAAAAACATCTGCTACGATCATAAAAAACTAACAAAAAGTTTCTTCTATTTTTATTACATGTTATAATTGTTTAACCTACACTGCGTGTAATAAATAATTATTCAATTATGTTATATTATTTATTATTCAATTATGTTTATTATTCAATTATGTTATATTATTTATGTTTTCTTAAAATTTTCCTATAGTATACTTAAATTAAATTAATTATTTTTCCGATAAATATTACAACTGATTTATATTTCAGCACCGGACGCACCAGGAAATTATACTTTTACAATCAACGACAACAGTGTAATTGATTTAAAGTGGCTTCATCCTTGGAAGACAGGCGGTCATCTGCAATATTTTTGCATTCAGATAGAAGAAACTTCTTCAAATTTGAGAAGGCGTGTTTCTCGATCACCTATGAATAAAACATATAAATACCCGGTGACTCAATATATGCGTAATTACGAAACGCAATTGTATTTGTTTTCGTCAACAAAATACATTATTTCTATTCAAGCTGCGACAGTCGACAATAAATTCAGCACTGCAAAGTTTGTAGAATTTTATACACCTTCAACAGCAAAGTTTGACAGCGATCTAGATGTCATGGTGCAAGAATCTGATTCTACGATTTTATTAAATATACCGTCTGTATTAAACGACACTCAAGACAGCATAATGCATATTATAATAAAAGGTCCTAATCCCTGCGATCAACATTTAAAAGTACCCGAATATCTACGAGCGCGAGCTGGAGTAAAAATGTATGAAATTGCTTGGCAGGCGGCAGAAATTTCGGTACGTATATAAAATACTTTTGAAATATCTATACCTGAAATTATTTAAATGATAAACAAACTTACAATAATAAATAAATAAATGTAGTTACGATAACATTGTTATCTATGAAGTTATATTATTTACAATTAATAAAATTAATTTTACATAAATCTAACAAATTACAATTGCAGTATTAAAAACAATAGTATTATTTAGATATTTTTATAATTAAGTTTTTTATTTTTATTTGTGACAGACCAACGAACTTGCTGGCAAATTATTTATAGTTGGCGACAATAAAATTTATGGTAATGCCAAAAATTGCCCATTAAAACCTAACGAGGTTTATGAAATAGTGATTATTGTAATTGAACAGAATTTATCCAGCAAGCCAATCATGCTTATAAAATCAATCCGCCTTGGCATGCCCCCACCGATACATCACGAAATGTGGCTTATACCTCTTATATTATTTTTTGTTGTGGCAGGAATAGCTTTTTATTTCTATCGAAGGTAATATTTTTACTTTGCTGTTTAGAAAATAGCAATATTGAGCCTTTACTTATTTATTTAAATATTTTATATAGATTCTATATAATAGATCTATTATGTAAATGCTTTAATTAAAACTTTCTTAGGATTAATACCTTAAATCAAATTTCGATAAAGTAATTTTACAGCTGCAATTTGATGTGTGAATTTGATAGGAAAAAACAGAAGTCGACTAAACAGTTCATACAAGACGAGATGGTTTTGTCACAGAATATCGAAAATTACGAACATGAAACGAGATCCACAGTATCAAATTCAAAGCAGGATCTGTCAACTCCTTCCGACAGACAATCCTTATCGCGGGCAAGCACGCCGGAAATACAGTCGATTGCTATTATAAATGACGAGACAAAAAGAGAAAAAATGGAATCATTGGTGAAAGTGAAAGATTTTGAGGATTACGTTAAGCAAGCGATAGAATCGGGATTACTAGATAAGCAATACGAGGTAAGTCCTTTATCTTGCTTTTATTTTATTTATTTGTTAAATGACTAAATTATCTTTTAAAATTTTTTTCTAAAACATAACATCTTTACATTAAATCAAATAATATAAAATCTTTATTATATACAAACTTTACAAAAATTTTACAAAAACAAAAGAATTTTTTACTCTGTACAGCAATAGTTGCAAATTATAATTATATAGGGCAATACATTTTATGATCTTTTTTAAAGACATTTCCACGAGGACAAACTCGATCATGGGATTATGGAAAATTGCCACAGAACAAAACTAAAAATAGATATGGAAATCTTATTGCATGTAAGTGCCGTAAAAAAACCGATAATAATATTTAATGCAATAATGAATTAATATTATGCTAATTCATACAGATGACGAAACTCGTGTGATATTGAAGAAATTTCCGAATGATAAATACTCCGATTACATCAATGCTAATTATATCACCGTAAGTTATTACTATTATAAATTATAATTATACCAATTATACTATAATTATAATTATACTAATTATACTATAATTAAACTCTTAGTCTTCAAGTGCAAATTGTTGTATCTGTGTGTTTATAGCGTATATTCAATGATAATTTTTAATTAATAATTATTATAAATTTTCTATTTACAATTATAAAGGGTTATAAGAAGGATAAGCATTACATAGCAACACAAGGACCTAAACCGAACACAGTTGTCGATTTCTGGCGAATGATTTGGCAGGAAAACGTTCTCATTATTTGTATGCTGACAAATGTAGTTGAAAATGGAAAGGTAAATGTCGTTTGTTTATTGTTCAAATAAATCTCAAAATGCAGAATTTTACATTAAACGAGAATAGAAATGCACATCGCAGAGCGTAAGGAAATACTAGAAGAAATCACAAAATTAATAAATTTTAATCTTTTATCAATATGAAACTTCATAATTGTTACAGACAAAATGCGAACAATATTGGCCGGACATTGGCAAGAAAAAAAAATACGGTGATATAATTGTGTTAAATGCAAGACATAATGTCTTCGCTGATTATTGCCTTAGAACTTTCCATGTTACTTATGGAGAAGAGACTCGAAAGGTTTAACTAATACTTTCTTAATCAATACTAAACACATAAGAATTTTTATTAAATTATGTCAACCAATAATATTACAGATAGAACATCTGCATTACACTGCTTGGCCAGATCATGGTGTGCCAATGTATACACATTCCGTAGTTACATATTTGAAGAAACTATTGGCGACACCGCCTGGTAACGGACCCGTAGTAGTCCATTGCAGTGCTGGGGTTGGAAGAACCGGAACTATTATTTTATGCGATATTTGTCTCCATCGAGCAGCGGCTGAGGGGGTAAAAATATCATTTCGTTAATTTAATTTGTTGCTTTAATATCATTATTTATAAAAATTAGTCAAAATTAGTATTTATTTTAATAAAAGATATTATGACTTAATTCCTAAGAAAATTAAATTAATAATTAAATTTAAGAGATGTAATCAATATAAAATTCAATATAAAATTCAATATAAAATGATTATTGATTATTAAAGGAAAAATTTAGCTATGGCTTTGAATTACTACAAGTCTGTTAAAAAATAATAATATATGTTTGGCAAAGGAATTAATTTGAATTTATATATGGATGTTAAAGCAATATATAGAACAGTATAAGAAGTTGCTTATTCGTATAGGATTGTTTATAACTAAATGGCCTCAGCAGTAATCAATTATATTACAATTTGAGGCGCTATGAAATTTATTAGAAAAAGATATGCAAGTAATTGTATTACCAAAAAACTTATTTATCTTGTAAACATCCCTCGTGCTTACATGAATAAACCTGCAAGTAATCCGTCATATTGTCCTATATGTTACACCCTGTACATAAATTCAAAAAAAAAAATTATTAAGCGTTTAAGATCCCGTCTGCCAAATAATGACATTTATTATATTTATATTATTATATTATTATATTTTCTTTAAACATATTCTCGGCTTATTTCATTGATTTGTTTATTCAATAATTAAAATTTAGTTACTTGATGTCTTTGCGGAAACTGCATCTATAAGAAACGAAAGAGCTAATATGGTGGATAATAAACAGCAATATCTGTTAGCGCATTTGACATTGGTAGAATGTTTGCTTTCCATTCCGACAACATTGCCATGTAACGATATGTTACCGATACGAATTAAAGAATTAAAGAAACAATTATCGATTCAACAACAAAGGTATGTTTTAATAATTTTTCTTCAATTTATTTTCGTCATTGTTAATTAAGACGATTAACACGATACAATAGTTCATTATTTTTAATCGTCAGATTACAGAACACTGCATGGCAAGACGAAGCGTTAAGACCATTTATATCTCCGCCATCATTGTCGGAACGTAATCGAGCGAAAAATAGATTTCCGGAATTGATTTCAAGTTTGTTGGCAAATATTTTAATTATTTTGAAAATTACGTTATGGGTATTTTACATTTTAAATTTTCTGCCTAACAAACACAAGAAAACAAATTTTACACACTTAACAATAAATTTTTACAGCAATAAAAATATTAAATGTATAAAGATTTATTTTTATTTCATAGACAAAGTCAATAGAATATATTTAAAAAGATATCCAGCATCGGACGAGGATAGCGATTATTTATCCGCTGTTTATGTAGATGGAGTAAAACTTCAGAATCAATATCTAGCTTCACAGCTTCCCATGCCATCAACGATTAACGATTTCTGGCGAATGATTGCCGAGTTTAAAGTTGAACTTATTCTCATGCTACAACCACCTGATTTGCAAGATCCTGTATGAGTGTCTCCAACATATTTCTACATATATTAATTTAAATATTTAATGAAACAAGCATTGTATGCATTTTTATGTATAATTATATATTCGTTTTGTTTATTTTATAAGCTTTTTGACTTGTTAGTTTTTAAATCTTAATGTACTAAATAAATTTAAAAATCAGATTGACTCTTTTAGCATCCAATAATACATAAAATACTAAACGTAGTTTAAAGTATAGAATAAACGATTTTTTATGGATCAGTATAATTAATCGACACAGATATTTGTCATATATATAATTATACGTGTATATATATATATATATATGTATATATAATCAAATTTTTAGACATGTTGCGCGATTGCTCCCGTAAGCGGAGAATTTAAACCAGTACCATATTTGAATATCACAGCAAATGAATCCGTGGAAATGGAATATTACACCTCACAAAAATTATTACTTGTTGATAATTCTGAGGTAACTTCACTCAATTTACAATTTTAACTTGATAATATGATTATTTATTCACTAAAGAATATTTTGTTGCAGAAACCTTCGAGAGAGCAATCTGTGACAATATTATGTTTGACAGAATGGAAATCTGGAAAGGATCAACCACCGCCGCCAGTTATGACAATGGTGACTCTTTGGCAAGCTGCAGAGAGAATTGCGAGGGGAGATGGACCTACCGTTACGCTTTGCCAGTAAATATTAAAATATTGTAGTTGAAAATTTAAAGGAAAACTGAAAATTCAAAATTCCTCTTTCTCTTCAGCGAGATTTAATGATATAAAATAATTCTTTTCACATATTTCATATTTTCTGTTTATAAATAATTATTTAGTGTCAAATAATAATTACAAAATCAATCTGAATGATAAAGGTTTTAAAATTTTGTTTTTTAAGAAATTTTTTGCAAAAAATTTCTTAAAAAACAAAATTTTGCAAAAATGTTCAAGAAAATAAAATAGCAATCTTTCAGTGACGGGATAACTGGATGTGGACTTTACCTAGCATTGAGTTTCTTGCTTGAACGAATGGCCGTCGAAAGGGAATGTGATGTTTGCTTGGCAGTGCGGGCTGTTAGACGATCGAGACCGGATTTTGTTCGTTCTTTGGTAGTATCAGCAGGATAAAAATTGATACAATTATCATAAACAATATTATAAAAAAATTACATATATCTAAGTTAAATTTTATTTAATTGTCAGGAACATCTGGAATATCTATATGATGCCGCAGTAACATATTTGGAGTACTTTGAAACCTATGCAAACTTTTCATAAAACAAAAATATATAATACTAGTATAAGATAATGAAGTAATATCTTATAACAATATAATAACAAAATTCTATATACGATTAATATAATGGTATGCACAATATATTAAATATAAATAAATATCCATTACTATAAATATTTGCATTTTGGCAAATGAAAAAATAAATGTTTTATTTTTGTGATTTGTATATGAAATGTTAAAGTAAAGAATAATAATAGTTAATATAATTCTGTATTTTCTTTATTTATTTTAACATAACTAATTGTAATTTTAGATTTTCCTTTTAGACTATTGATTATTAACAAATATTTTTATTAAAGAATCCATTAATGATTTATATAAATATACTTATTATAATCCATGCTCATTTCTTAATCATATCTTATTTAAATTAAGATTTTATTCTATTGCAATTTATAAATTTCTTTAATACATTATTATTATTTTCATATCTCCCAGATTTATTCTGATAATATATAGCAACAAACGATATATATATTTTTATATTTTTATACATATAAGTATTTTAAAAATTATTATACTTAAGATTAAACATATTCAACGTCATTGTAAAAGGCAGCTCTGAATTGTATAAATGATGCCAAAATGTACGAATACTTTTATTAAGAATATATGAACAATTTAATTTTAATAAATTAAAAAATATTTTGTATGAAAAGTATTTTGTGAAAAATAAAAATTATATAGAAATATATGCGTGATGTATATATAGAACTATGCATAATTTATAATTTACAATTTTGCTATCAATTTTATTCATTTTATGCATATTTTATGCGATATTCTATATAGCTATCTATTCTTGAATTTCTTAAATGTCTTAAATTTTAGATAAATATGTCTAAATATGTCTAAAAAGTATCAAAATTAATTAAGAATTTTTCATAATCAATTTGAAATCTATAACTTATTATTCGGTCGTAAATAATAACAAAAAGCAAAATATTTTTTAGAATATTTGCAAGAAAAGTAATTATAAATAAATATCTATTCATATACATTATCTTTAATTACACGTGTGTTGTAATATTATTCTATTATCAAAAACAAATTATACTTATGTAAATACTTATGTATATGAAATTATTTCATAAATTATTAGATTAATAACTACTTTATTTTTTTTAATTAATTGTTAATTTCTTTATATTAATTATATAATATAGTATAAATACGTAATATAAAATATATTTATAGTATAATTTGAATCATTATAATCTAATATAAAAATTATATAACCACCCTGTACAATTTTCATTTCCTGATGCGTCAGGCATCAAGCGTTTTAGTAGATACGGAATTTATTATCTCGAATTCACTAGAAGGAAGTCGAGTTCCTTTCTTTTATCAGTTTACTATCTGAAATTACTGCTGTTCGGACTGAATAGTGCAAAATAAAAATTAAAGTATTAAACTTTCCAAAAATTTAATTCTATTATTATATTATTAATCAAATTAACATTTCATGATTTAGTGTAGATTGTTATTTTCAAAAGATTTATTTATACGTGTTTTAAACGTTCTCAATAAGTGACCTCAATGAAACGATCTTAGCATAAAGATTTAAAAATAACATGGTACAATAAAATAATCTAATTAATTAAATATATATTATTTATTCTATATGTTGTACTATTCATTTTTATTCTGACAACTGTCGATCAAACAGCGTGTGTGATTTGATAAACAATAAAGAAAGTGATAATGCATTGGTTTATGTTATTTATCTTCGCGAGTAAGATATTATATATTATGGGAAAAGTAACTCTGTTGCGTGGGTCACCAAAATTTTATAAATCATCAAATCAATTGAAATTGATATGTCTCTCAGAAGACGATGGTGGTGCTCTTGTGTGGAACTACAATTTAATAGAGCATTATAAATTGCCTAAAAACGATTTCGGTAAGTTATTAAAATTGAACTAAATATAAAATGAAATCTATTTATAAAGGACGACGATCAATAAGACCGGTTTTTGATCAAATGTTAGATCCGGTTCAAAAGGAGGATTTTGATCCTCTATGTGTGCCTCATAATTCTCTCAAATAGTTTTGTCATAGAATCATTTGAATCGTAATATTGTAAACAAATCGAGAAAATTCAGACTGCCATTACAACGAATTAAATAATTCTATGACAAAACCGTTTGAGGGTAATTATGGGACATATTATGGAATATAAAGGATACAAAATCGTT